CCCCAAAACCCCAAAACCCCAAAACCCCAAAACCCCAAAACCCCAAAACCCCGAGGCAAGATTCAACAATTGAGTAATTAATTATCCTGTACTTTATAAACCAACATGTAGGCATCTTCGTTGACAGCTTCGTTGATATCTGATTCTAACACGTATTCGTCATTGTAGCATCTCCATTCATTCTTTCTTTTGCAGTAAGCGAAGTAGTGGCCATCGTTCAGTGAACCAGAATGGCAGATTACAGTTTTTAAGTCATAAGCAGTCTTTTTGTTACCAGGAAGCTCTAATTTAAAATCTGTAGGGTAGAACAACTCATCACCAACTTTTTGCAAAGTAGCCTGATCGAACCTTTGAATGGAAAGCAGAAGAAATTTTGGAGCCTTGCATATTCTTTTATAGATTACTCAAAGAGTATTATCCTCTCACTTTGAGCAATGGCATTCACAAGAAACGACTTCTTTTTGATTTTCAAAAAACTCAAGGGACTTGGCTCCTCTTTCATCGGTTTCTATTGCCAGAGGAATGTTTATGAATTCTTCATAAGTTCTTGTTTCTTCAGAGCATCTGTTACATAAAATGACTGTCTCATACATTCCTACAAAGAGTTTGTCAATGAGGGAGTCATGAGTCTTTGAATATTCTATCCAAGCAGCAGCATAATCCTCATGCCCTGAGGACACAAAGTGAGTAGCATAAGGGTTGAGTTCATTCTGTAAGTTTTCAAACAAATGCAGCATATATTTGCATGCATCATGCTGACGATAGAGAGGGAATTCCTTTCTTGATAGTCTCCTTAGTGTATTTACCTCTGCATACTCTGGATTTTCATAGAATACTTTTTTAATGAGTTTCCGAGTTTGCTCAGAAAACTGATATTCTTTCAAATATGATTGATTTCTATAGCCTTCTTTTGGGATATTATCGGCAAAATACTGCACGAACTCAGGAATAGAGATGAGCATCTGTACTATAGCTATCATGAATCAATTATTGCCCCTATTCTTAAATCCTGGATGTTCAAACCTGAGTTTAGATTCATCCAAGAGGGGTTCCTCTTCAGGAAGTTTACAGTCTTCTTCATTATCGAAAGGATTATAGTTAAGGCCATCTTTGATGGAGGATTCTTGGGAGAGTTCACCTTGTAAGTCTCCATCATTTCTGAAATTATTATTCTCATCATATTCACCTGAAAGATAACGATTTTGTTGTTGAGAGTCATGATTTATAACCTCGTTATTGGAGTCAGGAATAGAGTTTGATTCTGCACGATATGATTTTTTAGTATCTTCATTATCATGAGATCGAGACCCAGCTGAGTGGTTTTTAATACTTTGAGGGGATCTTTCTGGCCCAGCAGTCATTGAAACATCTCTATTATGATCCGATCTGGAGGGTCTCTTTGCACCTTCTTGGCTATCATGAGAATCGCCCATTAGAGAATCTTCATGGTTAGATGAGGTGTGTTCATGCTTATCCTTTAAAGTCTGTTCTTTATACCATAGTTCGATTTGATCTGAGACCTTAGCTATGAGCTCCAATTTTGTGAGCCAAAACTTTGGTGAAGACAAAGCATCTTTTATTTCTTTTGCTTTGAAAAAAGAACTGCAAATTTTAGCATCCTTTGCTATTTTTCTGTAGCAGTGAGAGGAAAAAGTCTGTGAATCATCAGCTGATCTTGGGGAGCCTCTGTAGGTTTCGTAATACTTCCTAAGGTATTTCTGATCTGCTTTTGAAATACCTTTTTCATTTGTATTTTTAGCACGGCTTTCTCTGGACATCTTCTGCAAATTAGAATTTATTAATTAATGTCAAGTGGGTCGGGTTTTAATGGGGTTTTGGGGTTTTGGGGTTTTGGGGTTTTGGGG